AGATTTGATGACGGGTCACATGAGAAAAAAATCTGTTCATGGTATTGTTGGTTTATAGGCTTGATGAAAATACACTGGTTGATCATATTATCACAATGATTTCGTCACGTCTTGACGATCTGTATTGTTCAGAACGTTAAGTAAGATCACTAGACTCGTAGAATTACAAGCTGTTCGAGTATTTCTTATAAAAGGATAAAGGATAAAGCTATCGGCGTTGATCAATCTCTAAGGGGTGTGGCACGCATTCGACTTCACTAAGTATCGTTAGAGGAAATTGAATGCATATGCGGTCTATACAATAACTAGCGGTGGGCTACTGATTTATCGAGTCAGTGCTGCTATCCTCCCAGACGAGTATAGTACCAATTTGCTGACCCAGTAGGGATGTAATGCTTCGTAAGCCTAGAGTGTGGAGATAGATTCCGTATGCACTGCAAGGCTCCTTTCAGCACTGCGCTGTATGCGCCTGGATTTGAATTTTTGTTTCAATTTGTTTGAAACGAAAAAACTGAAAACGATGTAAAATTTTGTAAACATTTAATCTACATTATATTTATTTTTCAGAATTCATATAAGCAGCCCTAAGCATCATTGATACAGCGGAGAGTGCCATCGTGTCGTGCTGTATGGAACTCCCCTTCTCAAATTCTTTTTGTTTCAGATGCGACCCAGGAGGAAAAATGTAAAAAAATGTTTGTCATAGGCTCTTGAGAATCAGACTTTCATCTTACTGGAATAAGATAGCAAGTGCTTTGTAGAAAAAAAACTATAGAATCCAATTTCTTTTATTTCAAATAATGTCCAGTAATAGGTGAACGTTGTCCGTTTAAAGTTGGAAATAACCGCTAGTAGAGTAGTAGAGTTGTCTGTCTGTCAAGGGCGCATGTGGCGCAGTGGTTGGGGCGAATTGCAACCCATACGTGGAATCGATCCTCGCCCCCATGGCTCACCATGCCTTCCATCCCTCCGGTGTCGGTAAATTGGTATCAGACTTGTCTGGAAGGATAGCAACAATGGCTCGATAATCGATAGGCCACTGCAAGTTATTGTAAAGGCCAAATATGCATTCTGTCACCTCCAAAGAATGCTGAATGAAGTTGAATGCTTGGCGCGTCCCACATTGTTTGATCAACGCCGAGAGCTTTATCCTTTTTTATCCCTTAGATTTGTCTGAGAAGAAAGCAGCACTGATTTTGATACATTGGCAGGTCACCACATTTTATGGGCCAGACTTGCATTCAATCACCTTTATTATGCTGTGAATGTTCTCGAATGCATGGCGCATCCCTCAGCGATTGATCAAAGCTAAGTGCTTTAAACGTCTTAGATAGCATGTTGCCTCCGGTGGGAAGGAGGAACTGTTTTGTTCGGAACACGACGACACACCGGATACCATGTGCATGGCAATGTACTGCACCTCACGCACCCATATAACATAATGAAAAAACTGAATTAACTACAAATCGACTTATTGCATTCATGAGTTCACGGCCAAATCCTTGACTAGATTATCTCAAAATTATCTTACATGACGTAAACAGAATAAGTTTTTAAGTAAAAAGGGAACTCAGCAAGAATTATTTGTATTAATAATTCGGACTACCAGCTAACTACAGTTTTTCAGTGCGTAAGTGTCCACCTGATAAGTGCTGGTTAAATTCTGCATACGAAATTTCCGAAGGCTTTTCGTCTTTTTTCGTCTAATGTGTTGACATTACTGCTTGGAAGCCATGTTTTTCATTTTTTCCGCATTTCCATTTTCTCCACGTGACATACGTTCGTAGTTCTTTGATATGATTCCTTTGCGTAACCATGAACCCTCCTACTTGCGATTCATTAGCGAGTCACATCATTTATCGCACCATTCAAGTCTAGTTTTACTTTTTGTGCTTTGTCAGTCACGATGTACTCCTTTCGTCTATAAGAAGTCATTTTTAGTCATTACGGGTCGTCACGCTACTCATTCACGTACTTTTCCTACGACTGCTTTTGAAAGTGTAGTGTTGGACACCTCAAAACCGCAAACCGTGTTAATAAAAAAGGTACCAGCAATCCTATAGTGTGTTCGAATTTCAACGTAAAATTTGAAAGATTCTGTTATTGGTTTATGTTGTTAAGCTTGATGTGATGTTGTGTCTTATTGTTTCCTCTTACTCTTTAACGGGCAATGCGGCTTCTTGACGACTATCGAAAGGCTGAATAAAATAGATAGCGGAAAAATGACAACTGTTCGCTAATCTAAGCAGTTTTACTCACTGCCTAATCTTTTTAAAGGCAGGGTACATTGCGAAACATAACTTCAGTGATGCTGAGATATTTGCAAAACTCTGAGAAAAAAAGTTATGTTTTGCAATATACCCTGCCATTAAAAGATTAGGCAGTAAATAAAACGGTTAAGATTGTGATTATAACTAGAGCCTCAGCTTAACTGGGTTTATTGCCGATTTGGGCGCCCCAGATCAATCCCGTTAACGGGTGATCGCTGATGGCAGCGATCGATAGAATTATCTGAGAGTCAGGCAAAACGAAGGACCCGCATGGTGTGGTGGTGAATGCGTTACTCCCCGGAAAGGACAATGGCGCATTCGTTCCCCACCACAGACACCCGCGGTCCGGAGTTTTGCAAATATCTAGGTATTACTGTTCACTAACTCATTCCTCACTTGCAGCCCCTTGGAAAGTTCTGTTTACGTTTCAAATCAAAATCTGCATGAGACTCAAGTTATGGCAAAAATAATATACTTCTTGATGGCACGAATTATTCAACGCGTTTCCTGGACAATACCTGATCGACCTGCACACGCAGCACCCATACCTAGACAGTTGAATTATGCGAGAAGGCAGTGTTTTGAACTTTATTATTAAATTCAGCTCGCTGAATTGGAGTGTGCAACAATGTTAATTTTGTTGCTTGTACAGGGTGTTGATGCTGCTTTTTATTGTACAGTTTTCAACTCGTATTTCTCATTCAACAGCATCATACGTTTTCTGGGATAAGCAAGGAACATTGAATTTATTGGAGAACACATTTTGTAATCATCTCATGCTAGCTATGTATCAAACATGACTATATTAGTCATAATCATAATTATTATATAGTCATAATAAAGGATAAAGCTCTCGGCGTTGATCAATCCCTGAGGGATGCGCCATGCATTCGACTTCATTAAGTATCGTTGGAGGTGATTGAATGCGTATGTGGCCTTTACAATGACTCGCGGTGGCCTACCGATGTATCGAGCCAGTGCTGCTATCCTTCCAGACAAGTCTGGTACCAATTTACCGACCCTGGAGGGATGGAAGGCTTGGTGAGCCATGTGCAGTGGGATCGATTTCCCGTGTGTGTCGCAATGGCACCTCCGACCACCGCGCCTCCATATGTATAAATATATATATATATATATATATATATATATATGGGGTGTGTCTAGCTTAATGCTTAGAGGAGACTTGTAGTGCATACGGGTTTATCGGTTCTATCCTGGCGGCATGAGATCGACAAACTGGTATGAGGGTTGCCAAATCGAGGATTGCAGCACTGACTTCATACACCTGCAACCCACGGCAAGTCATTGAATGGACTAGATATGCATTCAGTCATATTTTACAATACTTGATGAAATCGAGTGCATAGCGCACTATCTCAGGGATTGGTCAACGCCGCGAGAGTTTCATTATTTATATCTATAACTAGGTCGACAACGAGTAAATGGATTTAAATAGGAGCATTATGTGCAGCTGTTTTGCTGGATATATCGTCTGTTAACCCATAACTCCCGTGTTGAAAAACGATAATTTGTCAAAATTTAGAGTGCTTATGGAGTTGAGAATCACACACGCTTGTATAGAAGGTTTAGCTCTGTCATTGGGAAATTACACAGCTCCTAAAAATTCATTCATAATTTTCAATTTGTTTGGAAATTAAGTTCTGTGAAAAATTGAGGGCTAAATTCTAATTTTCCGATTCTTCAACAGAACAGTGGCACTTGCAAACATAGAGAGAGGGTACAGGTCAGTGATTTTTCACCGTTTCATACTCTAACTTTCCAGGAATCGAGTGGAATTCTTCTGAGTACGGTGAAAGGCGAGTCAACAGCAGCTGGCTGCTTGTCGGTCATACTTCGTACCTTCCTTCATTGTTTCCTCACAAGACGGGACTCATCCATCAACGGTCTCCGTCGCAACAAACAACGCGTCGGTGAGCTGAAGTGCAACTTAATATTTTATTCTGAGTAATGAGGAATACATTGAGAAAAGTTCTTTGGATTCGGATACATTTGTGCAACAAACACAGTCATCAGCCATGAAACATAAACATTTAGAAAGTGAATTGTAAAATTACGAGATAGTAATTTTTCAATATGTTAACATTAGTATCCTTACTAGAAGAATTGTGAAGCATATTTTTTGACCAACTTGGATAGCAATGATTAGTGAAGGTCTAGCTATAAGAGTCTAATAAACTAATTTATTTCTCGCATTAGAAATATTATGAGGCACAATGGTAGTGATTCCGATTCCGACTATGACGAGTAGGGTGTTGGTTCGACTCGGCCCCTGCTCACCAAATCTCTTATACGTTCCGGGTGGGAAAATTTATGCTAGATTTGTCTGGAAAAAGTCCTCTCTCTGCAATCCAAATAAGAACGCTCTAGCCAGACTACCCCAGTGCTCTAAGGGGAATCGACTTGACCAGCACTCAACGACATTGATGACGAAGGAGATTTCCCCAGGCAGCAGCCGAAGCCACGCATAGAAGTTGGAAAACCGTCGTGGATGATAGACGCGAGGAAGCGAATCGAATAGTATCACTGCTAGGGTCCACACAGTAGATGCGAAAAACGTGTCGTTCAAAATAAAAGAAAAAAGGAAAGCTGTAAGTATTGCTGCAAATATCCAACTTGTTTAAGTTGTTCAAGCAGCATCAGTCACATCTATGAGCATGAAAATACAAAATTACCAAAAATATTAGTTTTTAAGCTCCATCTTCGTGGTGTATGTGGAACTGCGGTCTGTTTCGTCGAGTTGCTGAAATGGGTTCTGCAGCTTCAAGTGGAACACCCGAACCTGAGAAAGCAATAACGGTTTCCGATCGCATAGCTGCATATTTGAGCGAAAAACCACTCAGAATGGCTCATATGCTAAAAGCAACTAAGTTTGCTTTCTTAATATTTTTTATCTTTTGAAATCATGTATTTCTTGAAACCAACAGTACTGGATTGAAAATGAAACCCGACTTGACGAAACTTATGTTCTTCGAGATGCAAATATTCACTTATGTGCACTCAGTTTTGCTATCTTTCCTACAGCTGAGCCGCTACTCACTTGTATATATTTGGGGATTTCTAGGCAAAGAAAGAATCTCGTTGGTTTTGACGTGCTTCGAAGGATAAACTGAATAGAAAAGAGTATCCCAGCAAAAGTCTATATGTTGGCGCTGAGATACCTTAGATTTTGGCGTCCCGAAGGCATCGAAGAATATGATATTTCGGAAATGCCATTTATGCTGTTCCATCATAAGGATTACATAGTATGTACAAAATAAAATGAAATATGCTATTTTACGTAATGTGCGGCATTCTTCTATGTCACATTTTTCAACTGGTGCACAACTACTACACGCTTGAAGTTGGCAGCACTTAATTAAAGGGTGTGTAGCACAGTGGCAGTGATGCCGATCATTATGAGTACGGTGGCAGTCCGATTCAATCTCGCCACAAGATCACCAAGCCTCTCATCCCTCCGGGGTCGGAAAATTGATACCACACTTCTCTGGGAAAGAACCACCCTTTGCAACCCAATTGGGAACTCTCCAGAGGGCTATCCGAAGACTTTTGGCAGAATCGACTCCACTAGCATTCCGCGACATTCAAGATGAAATGAAAATCCTTAAGCAGCAGCCGTAGATACACGTTAAAATCAGAAGACTTTTGTGTGTGATGGATACGAGGAAACGAATCGATGGTGAGAAGTGCTGATGTCCGCACAGTAGGCCTGAGGAAGGGTCGTATAAAGTAAAACAAAGCAAAAATTTGAAAAATGACGTCAACAAGCAGTAGAAACGGAGCGAAATCTTGCAACAATCCAGTGTTACCGACATTCACATTAACAGTTCTCATTGTTGCAAGTCAAAAAAAAGTAAGCTTAGATATTTGAAAGATCCTAAATGTAGCCTTACAAACTTTTTCCTCCGTAAAGCTGCGTTTTGAAGATTTTATATAACATTCCCTTTGCATTTTAATTGCTGCGGTTGTTTCAAAAATCAATGAAGTAACAGTTTTGATCCTTTCTAAAGAAGACGGAATTGTGCAATAGGTCCCCAAAATCTCAGACAACTCGGCAAATCTTCCAAAGCTTTCGATTGCTTCCTTTTTTATCAGGAACATTTTTTTCCGCAGAAATAATAACAAGACTCGAGTTAATTGTGTTTTGCTTAAGGCTTATCAACAATTCATCACCAGAGGAAAAGCCAGTCTTATTCGAAAATGGAATTATCCAAACAATATGCGAATTAATTGCTGAGAGCGGTAGTGTCTACTCGAATCAGAGGTGAGATCTGATAACTGGCTTTTGGTGTATGATATAGCACTTATTTCCGAAAAATGGTATTAATAAAAAACATTCATTTTTCAGAGCAGATTCGGAGGAACGTAAGCGTCGACGTTCAAGACGAAATTCAAACTCGACGATTCTTCAACGTGGGGTCGGCTATGGTCATGGCTCCACCAGATCTAAATGGAATATTGAACGAACTGTATACTTAGTTACCTAACCATTCACACCAAACTCTTCCTCATAAATCCATGGGCTTGCAGGTCGAGGAGCGATTAGCTCGTGAAGAACATCTCATATGGCTTTTGAATGCGTTAAATGCCTTTTTGTACTGTTGTTCACCGGAGTTCAAGACAAAGCGTCAAGCAGACAACTATGCTTATATCTCAGCGCCGGTTGTGCGTGAAATTGGCGAATCAGCTGTTATTGTGCTTCTTGAATATCACTTAAAGAATGACAGTGTATTCGATGTCAGCGAACATATGGAATTATACCAGGTGAGTATTACTGCACTCTATCGACTAGCTATACTTGACCATTCAGTAACACGACGACTTTTAAGATCATATTGGTCTGAGATTACTATAATATATTTAGTGCCAACTATAAGGTTGTTCCAGGCTTTATTGGAAACTGCTGCTTCAATGGCTAGCGTACCAGCTTTGGTTCCTTATTTAGTAAAGCCATACGCTGAAGGAGCAAAGTCAATTGCCAAAGAACTCGTCATACCGTTTAAGGAAATTATGTGCGCTTACACAACGACGTGGAAAGATCAAATGGGCTCTCCTGACTTCAGAATGATTGACTTCATCGAAAAAGTTGAAATATATACGGAGGTAAATCCATTACATTATTAACCTATTTCAATCTGCTTTTATCGTGCAAGAAAAGAAGCGGAATTTGCACTAATTCGCGTTTTTCACTTTCCCTTTTAAAGGTTATTTTGCAAGCTGCTAGGGAATATGAACGAAATCTACCAGATGAGGAACGAATATCTACTGCATCTGCGATGAGACCTCGTGCTATACAAAACGAAGTGTCGATGAGCAGAAAACCATTAGAATCGTTGGAAGATAGGATGGAAACTGCTCCCGATGCATCTATACTGTACGAGAAATCTCTTAAACATCTCCAAATACAATCACACAGGTGTGTCTGACATTACACGGAACTATCTGTGCAAATAATAACGAAAGAGCAGGGGTACGATAGCACCCTAAATTTTTTTCGTATTTCAAAATGTATTTCCTCAACGTAACAGTCTTTCTGTCCGCACTATTTATAGCATGTTAGCGTCATGCAGCTGACTTTGATGTTTGCATCGAAGCCTGACCTCATAAAAATCCTAATATTCTTTCAGATTCATTGGCAATTATGGAAAACTTGTGATTCCATTCACATTTAAGAAAGACATCCGCAACACAAATCCGTTTGCACCTTCCTTGCGTGAAAGAACAAAACGGATAGCAAAAGAGTTGGCTTCTATGCCAAACACGTTACCACTCAACGCCAGTAACAGCATCTTCATATGCGTTGACGAAGGCAGATGTGACATTATCAAGGTTGGCCACGTTTACGCCACGTCATATAACAATCTATGCAATTTCTTTTACAAGCCACACGATCACATCCTTTCTAGGTCCTTATTTCTGGTCCGGATGATACGCCTTATGCGAATGGTCTTTTCGAATTCGACGTGTTTTTCCCAACCAGGTAGGACACTTATGATGTTCGCTGAACACCTACATAGAGATAATCCATCAAACTATGTTTTTCACTTCGCGAATATCCAGTGACATATATTTTTTACTTCAATTTGCAGCATGAAAAAAGGTAAGGCTCTCCGCGTTGATGATGAATGCGTGTAATGCATTCGACTTCATCAAGCATTGCTAGACGTGAATGCATACTTGCCCTATACAAATCATTGGTGGTAGTCTATGATGTGTCGAAACACTTCTGGTATACTCACTGACAGATCTGAAGGCAATTCGCTTATCAGAGGTGGACGGAACGCTTGGTGAAGCTGAGTTGCGGGATCGAACTCCTGTTGTAGCGCGACATGTGGAACTCAAATGCGATACACACGCCTGAACAATGAAGATATTTTTTTCTCCTCTTTTAACAATATTGTTCAAGTGAAATCTTTGTTGCATATGTCTATTTTGTTCTCTCATGAATGGGAGGAATATGAGATCGATTCATCCAACTGCTGAGAGACAGGAGGTACGAAGAACCCGCATGGTGTGGTGGTGAAAGCTTTGGCCCCCGAAGAGCGTGTTGGCGCGTTCGTTCCTCACCGCAGACAGCTGCAGTCCGGAGTTTTGCAAATACCTCAGTAGCATTGTGGTTATATCACATACATTATCATAAAAAATAGTAGGAATTAAATCGAAAAAAGTTAACAACGCTTTGTTATTTGCTTTTTATCAATTTCGCTTCTGACTTCCTCCATCACTGCAGTGCACATAATGTTAGGACACTGTTAATTTACTTTCGGAATCATACAGAACTTTACGGTCCAGTTTAAAAGTACGTTGCGTCCCATAATAGGTGGTCTCCTCTCGATGACACAGAAAAATCTCTTAGTCAATTCTTCAAGGCTGAAATTTGTGCAAAACTTCCAAAAATTGAGCTCAAAACATGGATATTGTTCCTGTGATAAGTTAACTCCGTGGCAGCCATCACGAAAAGAGAACAAATGTCACATATTTGTAATTTTTTACCGATTTCTTTAAGTTACAGTTAAGTTTGATACAAACAGTTTACGATAGCAAAAACTCTTCCACACAGTTAATTACCGTATTTTTTCTTTGAAAGTCGTAGACGTTTTTTTGAAGAGGCGCGTGTAGAGCAGTGGTCGGGGGCGCCCTGCAACACAGACATGGAATTTATTCCCATGCCCACGGCCCACCAAGCCTTTCATCCCTTTGGGGTCAGCAAATTGGTACCAGACTTGTCTGGGAGGATAACAACATTGGCTCGACACATCGGCAGGTCACCGCAAGTCATTGTAAAGGCCAGATATGCACTCAATCACCTACAACGATACTTAATGAAGTCGAATGCATGGCGCATTCCTCAGGGATTGCAACGCCGGGAGCTTTATCCTTTATCCTTTATTTTTTTTTTAAACGCACATCTGCCGTGGCTTTCGGGTAGGAATGTCAAATTAAGGGTCAAACTTATTGCGTACGATTGTTTCCCCGTTTCTGGTTCCGTATAAGTCTGCTCTATTTATGACCATACGCATTTTCAAAAGTTTGCATCTGTTTACATAGATATTTACACACAATAAGTCTAATTTTAAGTTATCCATACTCCCCACCAAAATGCGCATTCCTTACAACTGGAGCAGGAAATGTGCGATTCAATCCAAATCTGTATAATGATGGGAAAATATGCCTTTCAATTCTTGGAACATGGGAAGGTCGACCAGAAGAAAAGTGGAACTCTTATTGCTCACTGTTGCAAGTTCTTATCAGCATCCAGGTAATTAAATGGCATACGATGTTCTAAAAGGTTCGCTCAGAATATTTCCACGTTCATTTAGGGTCTGATCTTTGTTAAAGATCCGTACTTCAATGAACCAGGCTTCGAAAAATATCAAGGCACTGAGAAGGGCAAAGATTACTCAAGAAAATATAATTTAAAAATCGAGCACGCAACTTTGAATTATGCGATAAGAGACCAGCTGAAAAATCCACCGGAATACTTTAAGGTACCAGATCAGGTCATCGTTTTGCTCACGTCCACCTGTCTATAAAATGCTTCCAGAAGGTAATCCAACGACATTTCTGGCTGAAGCGCCACGCGATCATTGAGCAAGCGAAACAGTGGATAGCGCAAATAAAAAAAGATGCCTTGGAGACTGATCGTAGTCTGAAACGCAAGGAAAGCATCTCTTTTGAATCGCTCTGCAACCCAAATCATCAGGTTAACAGAGACTAATTTCCGTGAACGTCGAGAATTTTTTCCGTACACATTTTCTTACTAAAATTTTGCGTAAGAAAACGTTTTTCAGGAGCGCTCCATTCAGCAGCTTATCAATGACCTTTCCACTATGCCCTGCCCTGTGGATCAGTGTTAGTAATATTCTTCCACACTTAAACCAATTGCTTGTCTATAGGATAGACATTGAGTCATTTGACGGAGTTCATATTTACATGAATCGTCAGTACGCTCTATGTCGTTAAACAATATTGACCAGAATCCTCATCATAACTACAAAATCGACATAAATATTCTCCCTTTCGTTGTAAAATTTCATGCAAAAATGGGTTTTTGAACAGGAATTCAGATATACGCAGATGATCTTAATCTGTTAGGAACAAATGAATCGTGTTGGCTTTTTTGAATTAAACTCGTTGCTTCAATTGATGCCTGTTTTCTACAGATGTTTGAAGTATTGCACTCTCGCCTTCGAAGGACCGACAAAACTGGATAGCACCATTCGTGATTCGGCAACTGTTTAATTTGGTCGACAATGTTCAACAACGATGATAACTTATCAGTATCATACGGTTTCATTCGCACTGGTTAATTTTAGCGGGTAAAGTACTTTTTTTCTAAAAACGACATTTATTAGTTTTATACAGTTTGTTTTATACAGTGCAGTTCTACTGGTGTTAAGCGATCACAACAATGTTCCACGTGACATGTTAAGTTTTAAACTAAATGATTTTTGCTTTCTTGATCGCTGAATTTTTCGAGTCTTACTGCCTCGACAGTTCCGTCACTTTATCAACGCTGTAATTTGACCAAATGGATTACGATGGAATTCCATGTACTTTTGTTTTATTGCATGAGCCCCGATCTACATAAACTGCTTATCGCATAGATTCTGAAATGTAACTCTCGGTTGTATTTTCTGAATGTGTCCCTCAGTCCTTGCGGATAAAGATGAATGACAATGCTGTTACGTCATTTTAGCATTCCTTCATAATATTGTGCCATCGTGCATTCCTTTAGTATGACCAAAAAATAAAGACAGTCGAAGTCAGGCCCAACAGTTTCATCTTTGAAGTAGTGGGTTTTCAAACATGACATCATGTTTATCTAAGGTAACATGCGTTATTTTCGAAGAACCTATTGAATCTCATTGCTTTGTTCACGATAAATAATACGCTTCTAGATGAACTTAATCTTCTGTTTTTAATCAATTTAAATTCTTTCAAGAACGAGTTTTATTTCTTGCAGGTCAGTTGGTTTGTTATAAACTTTACTTTCTTTACTAACATGTGCCTTCACGTTAACAACGAGAATTATCCAAACACTCAAACTGACAATTTGAGCTTCGTATTGAAATTTAAGTCGATATTTTCCTTCCTCTAGGAATAGAAGACGATGACGTATCGTGAGATCCTGCGCGAAAAATGATCCTTGCTCATTGTGTGATTGCCATGGCAACAAATCTGAATTGTCGTACTATATACGCGCTTTTCAGCCATTCTCTTCGTCAATTCCATAAGATGTTCTCATTTTTAACACGATTGTAGTGAATCAGTTAGATTGAGAATGAGATCTTACATAATTTTGTGCTTAGCTGACGGACGGGCGCATTATGGGAGCTTTTTGATTCGGACAGGGATAAGAGTACTCGTGTAGGGTATGGGACAACAGAAGACGTACGTTTCTTCGCGATCTAATACATACTCAACACCTTGACTTTTGTCCTCTGAAAATATTTATAGTGATTTATCTACAAATACAAAGGATCCGCTTAATCATTCCCATCTTGGCAATTTCGGACATCTGTACTTTGATTACCTGGCTTGAATAGTTCATAACGAATTGAGCGCTGACCCCTATATATCCTCATAACATTGATTACTTTCCTCATCCGAACTTAAATCAACACGCTGGTTGCCAGAAGAACATATAGTTTGTGGTTGCTAGCACGAATCAAGTCGACTGTAACTAAATTTGTGTTTGGATCGTGTCTCACTTTAAGAGTGGGACGTTGGAGTTTGATAGGTCTATCGTTAAGCGAAAAAGATTTCTAGAGGCTTTCTCCATTGCCAATTTCGTGCCATGAAGTGAAGTTGTAGCAGAGTCATTTATTATTTATTATGAGCAGAGCCGTGTGTATTGTGGTAGGACTATGCTTTAGTCCCCTTCTTTTTTGTATTGCACTCTCTCTTAATGGTGGTGAAGGTGCGATCTGCACATCATGTTCGAGGAAGTGGGTATAGTTCAGCACAAGTCTCTTGTCTTTCAACATGCATTTTGCAGTCATCGGTCTACTATTCCTTTTCCTACCAGTTATATGAAGAGAAGTATTCTTTGGGAATACTCTCGTTACACACGGCATGTTTTTTTTCACTTTGAAAGATGATGACGTATCTTCTCCAGCTTGCAAATAAATGTATTCTTTGCTAGGCGAGAGAAGTAATCAGTTCCAATACTGAATGAGAGCACCGCAGAGATGTCAAAAGGTCACTTCTGTTTGTGCAAATGTGATTGATTCACATATGAGCCGGTCACATATCTTGTTGCGAATCCCTTCATTCGACTCATTATAAAACACATTCAGTCCTCTCTCATCAGTTGTGCAGGCTGGTAACTAGCAACTCATAAGATAATATTCCTGAAGAATCTCTTGACACGAAGAATAGAGACGAAAAATAGCCGAATGAAATGACAGGATTCAGTTATGAGACGCCAACATGGGTAACACAAATAAACGTGTAGAAAAAAAATGCTGCACTAAAGCATCGTGAAAGAATTTTGCTTGTAGAAATCACCAGGACTCCTCATCTAATTGGCGTTGGCTACCTTTTTGCTTTTTGTCTCTTTTAGAGCAATGAGAGAGAATTTATGGTGATCCGTGGCCTTAAGATGGGCTTGAAGATTTGTGTCTAAACAGACTAATCTAGTATTACGAGTACACGGCAAAAAACAATCCTTATGGTGTGCTGTGAGGATGTTCGTTTGGTGCAATTCCATTGATGTCCTTTGCAACTTGAGATTTGATCTCCGCTCAACATTTATCTAACAGTGATACTTAGATATAAGTGAAAAATACACAGCAGTGAAAAAAAGTAATAGGCAGTAAAAGTCAGTAAAAGTTAAACATTGGGGTTGTCTACCGGGCCAACCGAGCCTCTCATCTCTCCGTGGTCAGGAAATTAGTATCGAACTTCTCCGGGAAAAAGCCACTCTCTCCAATCCAATTTGGAACGCTACAGTCCAGCCATTTCAGGACTCCAGAGAGAATTGCTCGACTGGCTTTCTACGACATTCAAGATGAAATGGAAATCCTGAAGCAGCAACCGAAGCCACACGTGAAACTTGGAAGACCTCAGTGGACAATGGATGTGAGGAAACGAATTGGATGTGAGAGGTGCTGCGATCCGCACAGTAGACGTGAAGACAGACGGATCAAATAAAATGAAAACATCGCGTTTTTGTAAAATGTAGTCGAAAGCCAACCTTTCGAAAACCGTTGCCGAAGTCGGTAAGAATTCGTTTTGCATGGCCAATGGATTGTAGTCTGAACGATGTCCTGTCAGCAAAGCAAAGGTGGTGCAACTGTTGAACAAATAAATTATATATATTACTTGTCCACCAAAGTTCCTCATAATCTCGAGCTGGCTGGTCGCCAGGCCGTCTCCACGTGGCGGATAGGGGGTTGATTGCGGAACAAAAGAGATATTCGCTTCCCTGAGGCGCAGATGGATTCAGGAGATGGACTGTCTCTGCGCTGATTTGGCATATACTTTTTGTTTATGCTAGGCGTTTTTCATCAATAAGCAGACACGAGGTTGTTAATATAGAATTTATTAGAACACAATTGCTGACGTTTCGGCGGTTTCGCCTTCTTCAGAGCCTGGAAAGGTCAAATTGAGATGCGATCTACTCAGCCAAACACTTTCATAACCCTAGCAGATAAAACTTGATAAATCCATTTGTATTCGCATAAGAAACAGCTTCATTCAAACACCTACCGTTTATTTGTTGTAAGTATTTAAGTTAGTTGGTGGATA